ATAACTAGGTTTAGAAGCTGTTTTCTTGGAGTGGGCTAGTTGGTTAAACATGTTATTAGTGTACTGACCTTAAGGATTTATTCCGTTTTCGTTTATATTGTAGAAAACATAGAAACCCTAGATCGTATGATCAGTTGTAACAGTCATGCCAAAAAGAAGTGAATACTGTTCAAACGATCTACTAGATTATCAATTTCAGTCATCCACATAAAACATTTATGACTATTAATCGGGAAAAAATTCCTCATTTTATTGGTAATATAAAACTTCTGTTTTAAACAAGATTTCAGATAGACCGTTTTAACATTAATGCATTTACTGATTTTAATTTGGATATTAAATGTCAACCTATCTATTTATAAATACAGTTTACATTGCACATATTTCTCTCTTCTATTTTTCTAGTTTATACCTATATAACTAGTCCTCCTTGTTTTGCTTATCAATAATATCATTAATTATTTGCACTTAGTATAAACATTTTTATCATAAAAGATTCGAGAATTTAGGGAACAATTTTGTTTTATTTATAGTTACTTGTATTATAACATTTTAATTGTAAATTACTTACTCCAACAATCGGAATACAATATCTAATTCACCCATACAAAATAGTTTAATCAATAATCTAACTCTCATAAATCTAAGTTTGATTTGTTAAATATGATCTAGGACTAGAAAACTTAGTAGTAGTAGTTAGCGTTATAAGTTTCCAATGGTTGTAAATGTCTCGTTTGTCTGATATTCAGTTATCGCTGATAATATATAATACTTAATACAACATTAAACCTCGTAAATTATTCCATAAAATGTATTTCATTTGTACTTGTGCTACGAACTGTTTGATAAATTCCTGGCATAGTGATACGTAAAACTTACCCATGTTGGTTTTGTTGGAAATTTTGTATTGGTATTCGTTTTCATCACGCATTGATAACAGTTGTATACCTAATGAACCATCACATCTTAATTTAGTCTGAAATAATTGTTTACAACGCTTGACCCGAGTATCACGAATTCAGTTATCTGTGGAGTGATGTGTGCTTCTTAGAAATCTTGAGACATTTAATACATTTATATCAGCTTGTGTTGATATGATCCTCATGGGCGACCTACGCTCCTCCACAAAGAGTAATAGGCGTAAGTAATTGATTTCGACAGAACAATGAGAAGACGGAGTTGATCTGAAAAATGTGATGTATTTGCGCTATACATTTCGAACCATCTGGTCACACATATACTTGTCAGGCATTTTATATGAAAATTAGTAAAGGTCAATTAAATGGAAGTTCAAGTACAAAAAGTAACAAAGGGGAGATAAAGAATAAGAAATTATCGCGTTATCCTAGGCCATAGAATGACTTAAGGATTACCAAGGTAAATTCAAGGTCACGACAAATTGTTTTTGTACACATAAGGGGGGCTTAAATTTACGAATAGCCAAGGCTTCAATAAACCTAAGAATTCGTCCTTGACAATTTCTATACAACGTTCTAAAAGCTGTATTAATGTCAATTTTGTGCCCCGTTTCAATTATGTGTTTCGCTATCGATGAACCTGGTTTCCTACCTCCCACGTTGATCGGATCATTTGAACAAGTATTCTGTGACATGAACACTTAAAATAGAATTTGTTGCGGTTTCTTGATGTTTAAATTACTTGTGTTATAATAACTGGAATAAAATTCCTGATCCGATGTAACTGTGAAGCATCTGATCACAATAAATAAAGATAAATTAAGCTGAATAAGGGGTGAACTATTTTTATTTCAATAGATTGTTTGCGAAGGTTTAATTAAATTTGTAGACAACTTATCATCAACTGTTGGGCTACTGAACATTTTTCATGACTGAACAGACTTGTATAATATTTATCATTAACCCTTCTAAACATTTGTTTTCTTTATTTTCACACATTAAAGCCATTGCTCATTAGATTTTAATCCGTTCACATTATCCCTCATTAATAAGGCATGTATCGCTGCAACCATTTGACCTGGCAAAATCAAATTAATCAAGAATTGGGTGTATGTATGAATATTCGTCAATATTTGAACGAATAATTAGGCTCCGAGTATATTAGAGACATTTTATGGAAAAGCTATATTCAAAACAATCTGAGCGATTGATTTTTAAATAATCCCAGCATTTGTCCCAACAACCTTATCTGTACTTCTTCAGGGTAGTAATCAACGCAATGGTTATCAAAAGATTTATCTGAAGTTCAACAAATCTACTCTATAAGCTTATCTAATCATATTCAGATGTTGATTTCTGTTTAATAAGAACATATGAGTCAGTAAGATGTGAACGATATCCATAATGTGAAAAAGAGTGAATGTGTGTGTATGTACTATTATGTTATTATTATTCAAAACTTTTTAGAGACTTTATTAGTCTCTGTGTACCAACAAGGACATGTTATCCATTGTGTTTACTAAAAGTCAATAGTACAAATGAAAAATTTCGATCGTGGAAATGTATGCACCATGCGAAAAGTGAAATACATAGTTGTGCTGTTATTTTATTCGGCGTTTTCTATTCAAGCTGTTCTGATTAGCGCATCTGTATAGTGATTCTTCTGTTACTTGGCTTTTTTGAGTCCCAAACCTTTTCTGAAGTATTTTTTTAATTCCTTCGAATCTAATCATGTGTTTCGTTTCTATTGTAGATCTATTCTCAAGCTTGTTAACGTCTACCGTAGATTTAGGATCATGTTTCAAACTTTGTCTGTGTTTTTTCCACCTTACATGTTTTAACGTCTCATGATATTTAATTTTATAAACAACATCGTATTTTTTTTCTGGTAACATATGCTTAACTTAAACTAACATCGATCTTATGATATTACGCCTTATAGTCTTTAATACCTTCTAAGATTAAAGAGAATATATATATATATATATATATATATATATATATATATATATATATATATATATATATATCGATGGAATGTTCTTACAACATAAACATACTTAAAATTAATTCACTCAAATTACTCAAGTTATTTTAGCGACTGTGATTACTAATTATTATGTTTGCCAATAGCATATTAGTAAATACTTTTTATCATTTCTATTAATATTAATATTACACTTTCTATTAGTGTTCAAATGTAATTACACAGTTATCATTTTGTTCAAAATTTACTGATAAGATAAACATGCATAAGGTAGATTAGGGTTTTCTTTCTTCCAATTCCTATTAATGTACTTAAATGTTTATAGTTCTGTTAAACATAAATCATATCTGTTTTTAGTGAAGCAGTTCGTTTATATTAGAGGTTGATTAAAGAAAAAAAATGTGTCAAATTTGGTTGTTATAATTGTTATCATTGCTTAAATTCATTTAAATAATATGATACTTTAACTCTTTTACGATGGAAGATATTTGTTTTGATATAGTCCAAACGATACATTAAAACAATCCTATCAATCTTATCTAGACGATTTTATTAATAGATTTTTATTTGCTTGTTGAATATAGTAGTTCTTAAGGATAGTTGTGGATTTTTCATGGTTTTTATTTAAGTCTAGGATAAGTTCCTTTATTTGGCGAATTGGGTTTTTCTGTAATGTTCATTAACTAATATTGAGGTTTTCCAAAGTAATGATACTTTTCATTCAAAGATGGATAATGATACACTAAAGTAATTAAATAAATTTCAGTGTTTCAAGAAAAGTGTGAACTATGTCAGTCGTAAACTTACCATAAGCTTTACATTCACATTTTGTTAGCGTTTCTCTTCTTGTTATGGATCTAATAGATCGTTTAGATTCTCACAAATATTTTTTATTTTATTAGATGTAGACAAGTTTTTTAAAGACAGTTTTCAGAAACACATACAAACAAACAAGTTAAATATAAGTCGATAAAACCTTCAAATTTTTCTTAATCAGTTTATTCGAAGTACTTAGTCAATATCTATTGATAAAACGGTTTCGACTTCATTGAACAACTCTCAACTTTCCTAAAAGTCAACTGTTAATGAAATGACTGATTGATGATATTTAAGAAAAGTAAACTTACTAATAGGTGTAAATTACATTTGCAACGCTGCCGAAAGTAACTTAAGAAATATAGTATACTAAGAACACAACAAACCAACGAGAGAACGTGTCTTTGACCTCAGTTAAAATGAAGAACATCCAGCCTAGCACAAAAAGTTCCACAGGAAAAACTTTAATTTGAATCTTCAAAAACAAGCGATTAACCAATACAAATGGGTTTTGTAGACTACAAACTATTCACAGGTTTCAATAAATGCGACAAATCTGTACAGTATAGTTAAATAGTTGGTTATTACGCAAAATATTATTATTAATTCCATACTATTCCACCTTAAAATTACATTTTACGACAAAAAAGCATTCTGTCCAGGTGTTTTGTAGTCAAAGCAGTAATTTAATCGATTGCGGCTTTTATTCAAATACACGTTTACGTCCATAGGCCTCTTCCGTATTCAAACATGCAGTAGTAGACATGTTCGAACACCAAACAAAATATGGGATCGAATTGGTTTTTGTGACTTATCAAAAGATTATGGAACATCAAACTTTAAAGTTAAACTACTAATCCTTAGTATTGTGGCCATGTTATAACATGGCCTTAGCAAGTGCTTTGTGAGGTTTGCGCCAGTGTCACAAATTTACAGTCTATCCTTTGTTAATCACAAGACCTCCCTGCTAGCTTGTTTATTCCGTTTCTCAACCTTGTCTATATGTTATTTAATTTCACCTTATTCTTTCAATTTTCGACAATATTTTTTTGTAAGCAATGTAGTAACATTAACCAGTCCTTATTAACAATATCCCAATCTTTCCACTTTCACTGATCTCACTAAAATGTGACATTTTAAGGATTAGCGTAGACCGAGTTAATAATGAATTGTTATTTTTAAATAACTGACAGCTTTGTTTTGCTTTCAATTCACGGAAAATATTATTTTTAAGAGGAAATATACTGATCTCTCGAGTAAGTAAATAAGCCGATCGTATTTTCGTTTAGTTTTTATATTTATCTAAATCAGCTTTAGCTTACTCATCATTATTACTGTTTTCGGAATTATTAAGTGGATTCACTAAATGTCCAATTGAATATTGAATAACACTGTGCTTTCTTTGTTTTCTCACCTTTAAACATGTTAGCTTATTCTCTATCATTACTCTAAAAAACAAATAAATAATTTACTCATTCCTTGTTTACTATTATTGTACAGTGAAACTTGTGTGCCATATTTCATTGTAAATGTTACAAATTTTCACATTGAAAAGTATACTAGCCTAAGTGTATGCGTACATATTCAATGGTTGTACATCTAATTGTGTATACTGGCCATATGTTTTGTTAATAAACATCGCAAGTCAACTAACCAATCATTGTTGCCGGTAGTTGAGACGATTATGACTGGTTGAGAAACGTGACTGACATGATAAAATAAAATACACTAGTACAAACGAGAATTGCATTCAGTGAGCGAATGTTTACTTTTCAATTCATTTACAGTTAAGAAGTTGATTTAATTTTATATTTTGTGCTTATCGTTTGCATATTATTTAAAATGCCAATTTTATATGCTTCACATTATAACAGCACAATGTCATCAACTACAAATTGTATGAAAAATATTGATCACTTGAACTACATGAAATCTCGTGATATGTCGACATGTATAAATAATAACAATAGACATTTGAATCCTAAGGATTTATATCCTATTCCACCACTGTGTGTACCTCCTTCTGGAAATTACTGCTGTTCGCATACACCACCTACTCCAGTTAGACGACCATGGTTAGGCGATAACTCAGAGCAAATAGCCACTGGAAGAAGTCGACCCGGAGGACAAAAACGTTCAGTTTATGTAAATGCATCAATATATCCAATTCCTGAGATGATACGTAATAATGATAGTAGTGGAAATAATTTTAGTGGTTATGTAAGAGATCGACAAAGTTCTAGTGACACTGTTATCACATCTACAAGTTCGAATCCCGTAAATGCATCCACTACAGAAATTATCACTACTATTAGTAATCATAACAATAACAAAACCATACCAAGTAATGCATCTAGTGTACCAATTCCCTATTGGACACATTTATTACCATATCGCACATCAACTGTACCTCAAAATTTATCTGGTCGCTTGAGAAAATCAGAAACACTTCCAAATGATTGGATAAATCATGAGTCGAATAAAATTATAGATCACGCAATTCATTCTATACCAAAGTCTACATCATATCAATTGAATACATTGAATCAAAATCATAATTCGCAATGTTCAAATCATTCTGATGAGTGTAAATCACGCTTATATGTTAATTATACTCCTAATCTTAGTCCTAATTTTATAGATAATACTAAAAACATAAATCGTAGAGAAGCTAAATCACCACCTCCAAGACCTCCAATGAGAACAAGTTCACATGCTGCACCACGCCAGAATATTGTTTCATCATCAATATCTCCATATTGTCATCATCGTCATTGTCAGAGACATTTTGCTTTAGGATTACTAGATAAATCTACTAAGGCCGACAGAAATGAACAATACAGTTATACTAATAATATACCGACGGAAAATTCAAATGACAAGAGTATTAGTGAAAGTCCTATACTTTGTCGATACTCACAACTTTATTCTTTGAATACCGAAGCTAAAAACATTAATGATAATAATAATAATAATAATAATAATAATAATAATGATAATAATAATGGCAATGATAATAATAATCCCATTAATTATAATTCTTATTCTCAATATACAGCAATAAACAACATGACTAGTTCTGCTATTCATGCTTCAAATAATAAAACAAATACTCCATCTCTTCATCCTCATCGGTATATTCACTATGAACAACATCAACAACATCAGTCTTCTACTCATCATCATCACCATCCTCTTACTGTCCAATATCAACAATGTCAATCGAATCCTTCAAATCATCGAAGTAATTATAAACAATTAGTTGACTTTGATATGAAAAGCATAAGGAAGTAATCAAGTTCAATCATTGTGGTTGAGATCGAATGAACTTGTTAGCTTTGCATCCAAATCTTAGGTTTGCTCAGTTAACCATGAAGTTGTTTTTTTAAATCATATTTGTTCAATGATAACTTGACCACCATTAAAAGACAACCGAGGATTTAGATTAAACCATCTTAATACAAAAACATAATCTTCAACAGACCGGTTAATTTCAAACTTAGTTTTCCTTCCTTCTCTTACGCTTTTCTTTATTTTTTATTCCTTCGTGGTTAAATTTTGTTATCGATAATAATTTTCAATCGATCTAAAGAACAAAGGTCAACTCAACTGTTTATAGTTACATTTTTCATTTAAACAACAGTTATATTAATAGTGAAAATAGAACATTAATTGTTACAGTGACATTATTTGGTTATTTTTGATCATTGGTTTTGTTTTCTAAAGTGATTTGTTTCATGTTTATTTTTCTCTGTCGATTTATTTCTTCATCTACTCATCCACTCTTAGTTACTTGTTTTTTTTTATGAAATGACTTTTTCTTCCAAATAGAATTCTTAATTTGACTGTATCTTATTCTATGTATATTTTGTAAATTAGATACAGTTTGAATACTACTATTACCGATATTACTATTTCACATTATGACTAGTAATATCATTCTACTATAGTATGATTTGTTTCTGATTCACTAAGGCTGTGCAATTATCCTCATTTGTTTATCAGTAGCATTCTCTCATAGGATGCATAGACACATAGTTCACATCGATCTACAATACTTCACATCCAGGTTGTTTTTGAATGTTTTCTGTTTGTCTTTTCTTTATCGTTCTTCGTCCATTCTTGTTTTTTTTCTAATTCAGTTTGCTTTTGTTTTTTATTGTTATTGTTACAATTACTTAGTATCGTATATTGTTTTCAACGGATTTTTTTAGAAAAAAATTATTTTGTAATATGCATGTATCCATGTTCGTGTATACCTGTCAACATGTGAATGTTGAAAATAGTGACGGAGTTTATTGTGACCCCATTTTATTGATATTCACTCTTTTAATATCACGATACATTATATATTAAACCGTATAATCATGATTTTACTTATCGGCTTCGTATTTTCTTTTTGTTTAAAAAAGCTTAATAAAACTGAACATCCCATTACTGCAACCTATTGAACATAGAACTTTCCTTTTTAGGTTAACAAGAAAAAGTATGTGTAGACACTTAAAATAATTCGAAATGCAGTTAACTTTCCATTTATTCTAGTCTGAATAATACTGAATTCAGAATAATAACGATAATATTTAAGGACTTTTGTCTAAGTTCGAACAAATGGTTACACATCAGTTGGGTGCTGAGTCAATGTAAGATAATAAGGAGGACGACTTGTTCAGTATACAGTTAACAGGTGAACAATGTATTTATATTCGATAATTCCGACGTTTGATTAGATTTCCTTAAGAGCGTTTGAATCACATTGACTAACGAAACGTTGGATTTATTTAAGACCCAATCTCAGAGATTTTTGCAAATATGTAATAAAAGTAATTACAAGAGTGATGAGGATTACTTGTTTGTTCATTGAATGCTCGTAAATGGAATAGGTTGTTAGTGTCCAAGTTTCCATAAGTGATATTTAATTGAACGTTTTAATAAATAGAGGTTAATGGTAAAATAGTTCAAGAAATAAAAAGCACATGTTCATACTCTACGATTATGAACACTACATCTGTAGTTCTAAATACAACTGGTATAAATTCGTTTAGAACATGTATAAACTCATTATCTATTAGTTGTAAATCAATAAATGTTTAGTGAGTCCTATCTTTATAAATTCTACATTTATAAACAATGAATTGTTTGCAAATATATAAGACCAACAAAAGCAGAACATTTAAGTTCCTTTGAACAACAAATATTCATGTACTGAAATTATAAACCGATCTATGTTTGACCACCACTGAAAAACTGAAAGCAGTGGATAGCTATTTCGTTCTAGTATGGGACTCCTCAGCAATGCATCATCTAGTGCTTCCACGTTTATACTGGTGTTCTGACGTAGATGGGTTCATGATTTGAATGAAATTCGACAATTTACATAACCCCCATAGTGAAAGCATTGATGGAGAATAACTAAATGTGGTAATTCTTATTTTAGACAATAATAACACGGAAAGGAAGCCGAATTAGGATTGGTGTTATATCAGCTACTGACCATTTGTTGAATTAAAATTTGTTCATCTATCCTTACCACAAGGAGGACCCACCTAGTGGAGTTGGAAAAACCTGATTCCAAACCAATGGTGCACATATGTTCCAGTATCCTGCGGGAACAAATGTCGTATGAACCAATCGTTGGTCACCGGCTACCATGGGACTGCATCTCCTCACGATGCTCCACTGCCTTGTGGGTTAGACCTTTAGGTCAAATGCTCGGGGTGTGGCCCCTAAGAAAACCACCTGCTTCGGTCTGGGCACCCGAGCAATATTACAGGCAACACACAAATCAAGTGACTTGTGTGGCGTATATGTATTTGGTGCCTCTGTATACCAATATTTATGTGTTCAAATAAATAAATAAATACTCTCCAAAAAAGTAGTGCTATGTAGATACATACCTAACCATAATGCTTTAAGTAGACTACTATCTTCAGAAATGTTGTTTGAAGTTCTGTGGAATTAATTTTATCAAACACAATATAAAATACCCCCATTTGTATAGTCTATAACATCATTTATTTCTCCCGTCATGATTCTGCATTATGTTTAAGGTCTCTTCATGAGTAAATCAAAATTATGAATATACAACTATCCAGTTCATCATTATATTCATCAGTTCTCTAGTTGATTTCAGTTCATGATTTAAAATATTTGAAAAATAATTACTGACAGATCTACTTTTAAAGCTCATCCGTCATCTAACTCATAAAAATTTTAAGCTTTGTCAAATTCACCGTATTTGTAAACCATTCTACATGTTTCTCTTAATAAAAAAGTCTGGCTTCAAGAGGTATATCCTGGAGTTCTAGTGAGCAGCAGTTACCAGTGGAGTTCAACCGGGTCTTTTGTGAGATAGTAACTAACTGAAGACAATGGTGGATGTGTCGCTCAATTTCGTGGATTGGTTGAATTTATACATTAATACCGTTGGATGCCAGCTGAGTGGTCTAGTGGTTAAGCGCTTGCGCGGGAGACTGATAGCTCCTGGGTTCGAGTCTTGTGGAGCGGGGTCGTGAATGTGCGCTGCTGAGGAGTCCCACAATAAGACAAAACGGCCGTCCAGTACTTCCAGGTTTTCCATGGTGGTCAAGCTTCAATTGATTAATGATCTCAACTATTGAAAAAAATGTTGTGATTAAACGTTCATTTATCTATTTAGTTTAAATATCATTAGTTGATATGAATGAAGTTAAAAGACATTTAAATAAAATAAATTTATATGATAAAAAACTTTATGGTTAATATTCATGATAAATAGTAAATTTTTACATAGTTTAACTAGGAATTTTATTTTGAATACATTCCGTGAATTAGTTTATTGAACTCTATGATAATTTTTGAAAATAGAATAACTGGATGGCCGTTTCGTCCTGTTATGGAGCTCCTCAGCTGTGCGAATCCTGTAAACGGGATCGTGGATGCGCACTGCTGAGGAGTTCCGCAATAGGACGGAACGGCCGTCCAGTGTTTTCAGGCTTTCTGTGGTGGTCTAGCATCAATTAGTTTTGAATGTTTTGTTTTAGTGGGGTTACATTTTGCTTCTATAATGACCAATAAATTTTTTAATAATGTATGAACAAGATTACTTAAAAATATGAGATACCAAATGAAGGAAACAAATTTGCCCCAGTGCTTACTCAATTTACAACCTTGTTTATTGTTAAAATAAAAGACAGCTTATTGATATAATGATTTTTGTTTCATATTATGTTCTCTTATACTAAAGTGTCAGTTTTCAATTATGGTTCATTCAGTAATATGATCGGTTAAACTATTAATAAATAGAGTTTAATCTCATGTTTCATTAAGATTAATCAATCATGTAAACTCAATATCTAGACGTTCTCGGTCTCATTCTTTGCAAACATAGAGAACCGTATTACTGATATCCTTTAAAATTTCAGTGGAATTTTGTTTTCAACGGTTTTTTTAATTCTTAATGAGGAACATTTTCTGAGTAGTTTTTCCATAATATTTTCTATAACTTACATCTCAAATAAATTATCTCTTTTATAGAAATAAATTCCTTTAATTAAATCCGACTTACTTATCTATTTTATACTCTCTAGAGATGCACACTGTCTTCTACAATAATAACAATAGTAATAGTAATCAGACAATTACTAGTTGAAATTTATGACTTTTATCAACTCAAATAAAACAACAACAACAATAACAACAAAAAAACATCAATGGAGTGATACGGAAGAAGTATTTCTGTCTCTTAAAAGTTCAACAAAATTTTAGAGAAAATAAATACAAGTAGGAAATATTTTAAGGTTAGTCACCATTGGACTATGTTAGTCAATCATAAGGAGTATGGTTTTTTTCCTGTTTATTTAGTTAAATTTATATCAAACAATGAAGAATAATTTCCTCTTTTTATTTTCTCTTTTCAAAGACAAAAGTTAAGGGTTGAAAAAAATCTGTTTTTTGTTCTGTTAACAGACTAAATTTACATATAATGAATCATTTTCGTCCATACTTTGTATATATCTGTATACATAAACATCAGTTGTGGAATGCGAATTATTGTGATACGTCAGACTTCATTTAGTTTTGAATTATCAGTATACCTATTTAGCTGAACTAACATTCTACATGGTTAATTTGACAGTTGAATGACCCTGACTCACTAAATAATTGTCAAAAAACGACAAAAAAGACAAACAAAAAAGCAAAATATTTAGCATGCACCATACCTTTTTTTATTTCAATTTCACAAATAATTGTCTGGAGTTAAGCTAAGTAAGGTTTGGTGCAAAAAGTGTAACAATTCAGAATAATATGGTAAACAA